TAAACTAGCTTGCTTTGACCTACCCCATGATGTTGGTAGGCCTAAATACTTGGAGACTGAAGAGTCGCTTCTGATTGCGAACTGGGCACAAATCTCTGTCCTTCTACAGAAGGGGGTATTATTGCTAAATATAATAGCAGATTTAGAGAAATTAACCTGCTGGCCCGATGCAACAGCATATTGCCTCAAAATCTCCAAAATCTGAGCAGCTTCTTGGTATGTTGCCTTCCCAAAGACAAGGGTACCATCAGCAAAGAGTAGATGAGATATTTTCGGACATCCCCTTTTGTTTTGAAAGCCGGAAATGTACCTCTGCCTTTCAGCTTCATTAAACATGCGAGATAAAACATCAGAGACAAATAAGTAGAGATAAGGTGAAAGTGGGTCGCCTTGGCGTAGCCCCCTTTTTGGATAAAACAAAGGCATGGATTTGCCATTCACAATAAGAGAATAAGAAACAGTAGTTACACATTGCATGATCCACTGCACCCAACGCTCACAAAAACCAAAAGCTCAGAGCACATCTTGTAAGAAAGACCATCGAACACTATCATAAGCTTTGCGAATATCAAGTTTGACAGCCATGTAAGGACACCCTTTATTGCGTCTGAGCTTGAGAGAATGGAATGCTTCATGAGCAACAAGGATGTTGTCCTGTATCATCCTGCCGGGCACTGTTTGGGTAGCTTCGCAATCCAACACTGTTGAAGTCCTCGGCTGCTTCTACACCTGAAAATCCCAAGGATGTATCTCGAGGAAAACACTCCAACGCTCAAGTCAGCAATACTCGATATTCTAGAGAGAGATGCTCTCAAGGAGTAATTGCAGAGAGAGAAACCTAGAGATTAATTACCTTCATCGGAGGTAGTTGGGGGGTATTTATAGCCCCCAAGTGCTGATATGCATCTGTACATGTAAGCATCTCACTGGTCCACGTGGCGCTGTTCACGTGGGTATGTTTATACTGGTGATCCCTCACTTTGGGCTAACGGGTGTCAGCTTAGGCCCATTATGTAGGGCCTAAATTGGATGTTGGGCCTATTCCAACATTACTCCCCCCTCAGTGTTCGGTTGACGAACTGGGTTGGATGTGTGTAAGGCCCAATGTTTGAGCTGGTGATTAGGACGGACAGCCTTAGCAGCTCGCACCTGACCTCGTTGACGGCCGATTTGAAGGATGGCACCAAGTAAGACGAGCTCAAGAGCCTGAAAGTATACATGCGGCCTGGTATCCGCAACCTAACTAGCCTAGGCTCGGTATATCGATGAGTTGATGTGGCTCACAAAAGGTGAGCTTGCCCAGCGAACGACCATGTGCTCAAATTTAAAGTGTTACTCGCTATTCCAACGAGCTCGGCTACGTTGACATGAGTGCGAGTGAATGTGTAGCGACCTGACATAGTGTCGAAGGCTTGGAAGCGACTAGGTGATGATCACTTGAACAGAGGGACGAGCTGAGATGAAGCGACCTCAAAATCTGCGATCTTTACCGAGCTGCCGCTCTTGGAACGAGCTGAGATGGAGCGACCTCAAAATTTGTGATTTCTACCGAGCTGCCGCTCTCATGACGACCTGATAAAGGTGGTCACAATGAAGAGCGTATGTGGATGGGATAGGAACAGATCCGCCTGTTACGATTTGAATCTTGGGGATTTTTCGAATCATTCAAATCTCAACTGCTGTTATTGTGACGAGCTGACAGATGTGGCCACAATGACGAGCTGATGTGGATGGGACAGGGAACATATCAGCCTGTTACGATCTGAATCTTGGGATTTTTCGAATCAATCAAATCTCTGAGGAGATACGATTGATCTCCCCGTATCTCTCTGCCTTCCCCGCCATAAATGCTGGCTCAGCATTTAAGGGGACGTGACAGCTAAAGCCGGCGCACTCTATGCCAAAAGGGTGTTAAGCGCATGCCACGTGTAGGACGCTAACTGGCGCGTCAGAGACACGCGTACGGTAATTAACACTGCCATATCTCTCTTTGCATAACCGTTCCTCTTTCCATTTTCATTTCACTATTGTTTGAAACTTGCTGAGATTCTCTGCAGTGAAGCACTTCCGGCTTGAAGAACAGAGCACCAAACCACACACACTACAGCTACACATCAATTTCAGGTAAAATGGATTCCTTTATAAAACGTAGAGAACTGCGAGGTAACTAGGGCATAGAGGGAGAATAGGAGGGGGTTATATCTGTAGAGCCTATCACGATGATAGTGCCGTCGGCGCTGCAGGACGTGCCGGAAACGTTAACGCCTGAGAGCAGCGCCAGTTCGAGTGCTAGGGACAACGGTGGCGACCACCATACTTCATCGTCTAGCAGCTCGTCCTCTAAGGAGACACCGAGCTTCGAGGAAGGAACGGGGGATGTGGTTAGCACTGTCTCAGATCGGCCTGTGATTGGAGAATGGGAAGGCAAGACAATCACGGGCAGGTTGAGCAATCTACGAAAGGCGCCCAAGGACCTGCCCGTTGGATTTAGATTCAAGGCCGCGCTGCATCACGAAGTAGCAGACAGTGCGCCCTCAATAAGTGTGTATAGGAAGCTGGAGGAGATGATGAGGGCGTACCACATCCTCAGGATGATATTGCTCCGGACTGGCGCAAAGAATGAGAGGGCGTGCATGGTGTCACAGACGGGCTGGATACCAGTGTACGTGGATCATTTTGAGGCTGGCCTGCGATTTCCCCTACCCGGGTTGATATTCGACCTACTGGCAGACTACGAGCTGGCTCTGACGTAGCTGACGCCCAACAGCATAAGGTTCATCATAGGCTTTATGCTGTTGTGTGCGAGGTTGCAGGTCCCGGCAAAGGCGATAGTGTTCAGGTCGACGTTCCAGTGCCCAGGTCGCTGTTCCAGTGCCGGCTGTGTCCCAACTCCAGAGGTATTACCTCTCCGGGAGAGAGAAGAGCCAGTTGTTCAAGAATGTCAAGAACAAGGTAGCGAGGTGGAAGAGGCAATTCATCTTTGTTCGCGATACGCGAACAGAGAGAATAAGCAACGACCTCGTTGCTCGGCTATGTGAGTGGCGTGTGCCAAATGCACACGTCAATTACCCTCAATTGCTGCCACGGGACACGGATCTCAAGAATCAGCTGCTGGAATATGCGAGGAGGGAAAACTTGATAGATCTAGACGCCCTGGTTACCTCGAAGCAGCTCGTCGTGTTCGGGTTTGTCGACGTGGCAAACCTGTTCACAGAAGGTATACTTTTATGATATGTCTTGAATTCTAGCCGAGCTGAGTCTTATGTACTTGTTTGTGCAGGAGAAATAAGTAGTATACTGGAATGCCAGCGCCAGCGAGCCCAGGGTTCCCGAGGTTGCGCGTCGGGCAGTGTGCAACAAAGCCAGACGCGGTTTGACAAGCGGCCGCCCCCAGTGCCACAATCACGCAGCTCGTCATATCGTGGATCGAGCTTGGCGCCCAGGCCTCGCGCCGACCAGCGGGCTGAGACCGCAGCCCCTAGTGCACGCAGGCGTGCACGTGAGGAGACAGAAAGTGAAGATGAGGTCCCCCTCATCCGGCGGAGAACAAGTGGGGGGACTCAGCCTGCGCAGGCCGCTCAAACGGCGGCTGAGCGCTCATCGAACGCGCCTTCTACCATGACGCGAGCAGCAGCGGAGCCCGCCTCTGCGTCGACCTCAGTGTCGACGCCAGGATCGTGTATCTGGACGGCTTCAGCTACGTGAAGCCAGACTGCCAGCCTGCCATGGTGCAAGGCATGCACAGCTTTGTGCCTCCCACGGATCGCCAGCGGGCAAGAGCTTTTGTGCAGCAGCATGGCGGGCAGGTCGCCATGGTAAACTGATGGACGTAAGTATTTACTCGCCCTTACGTAACTGTGTTACTATTCCATTCTAGGGACTTATAGTTGTTGCTGTTTGGCAGGCATTCAGCTACGCGGTGGCACTATTTGAGAGCGAGCAAGGGGCTCGCTCTCAGAATAACGAGCTCAGCGCCAATTGTAAACAGTTGGCCGCAGAAAAGGCTAGCCTTGTGGATGACGTCAATGGTCTGCGAGGCTCAAAGATGGCCAATCGAGCTGCTGCAGCGGAGAGCCGAGCATATGAGCTCACCAACAGAAATAACGAGTTCAAGGAGGAGCTGGAGCGAGCCCGCGCTGAAAAGGAGAGCGGGATCCAGGCGGCGAAGGATGAGGCCGCTCACGTTGAGGAAACGGCCAAGAAAGCTGAGGCCGAAAAGGAACGTGCTCTGAGCGAGCTGAACTCCCTTAAGCACCAGGTCACCGAGGCCGCTAGGAACCTCAACGCTGCTGAAAAGGCCTGAACGAATTGAAGACATCTCACGGGCGATCTGTCAGTATTGCCCGCGCTCAAGGTGCAGAGTGGCTGGTGGGCTCGGCTGCGTTCCAAGACGTTGTGGCGGTGGCGTCTGCTAACATGACCACGGAGATCTACAACGAGATCCGTGGTAAGGTGCTGCACCATCGCCCGGACTTCCCCATACGCGAGCTGGCGTTCTTTGACGGGGAGGACATTGACGAGCAGGGTAAGAGCCTTGCTCCCCTTGCTGATACAACAGTGTGGCTGAGTTGGGACCTCAATGAGGAGGGAGTACCTGTCTGGCCTCCCTTAGTCTTGGAAGAGGGGGAGGACCCAGTGGGGCTGCCCTCCTTCAACGGATGGGTGGAAGGGGCTCCTGTGGCTGAGCAGGAGCCGTCGAGTACTCATCCCAACTCTCAGCCTGTCATGGTGCCAGCCAGGTCGCCTGTCAACGCACCAGCTCCCGAGCTCGCAGCCCGGTCTTCTCCAGCTCGCTCTCCTCCTACTGCTGCTGATGCGTCTATGCCTATCGACCTGACGGATGATTAGATTTAGGATTTTTTTTTTCCTTTTGATCTTTTGTATTTTTTGTTTCTTTCCGTAAAGAATTGTATCACAATCTCTCGTGCTAAACGTGTAATTGTTTTTGAAAAGAAATACAAAATTGGAGATTATATCAAATTGTTTTTCTTTGTTGTATTGCATGTATGGTTTACACTTCCATGAACAAATTCATTAATAACACATTCATTAACTATAAAATCTTCTAAGATTATGCACACTCCAAATATATGGCAACTGGCGTCTTTGTATGTCTACTAACACGTAAGATCCAGGTTGCTTGATTTGAATGACCATATAAGGACCTTCCCAATTAGGAGCGAGCTTGCCCATGTGTGAATAAGTATTGGTTAATCCAGCTTTGTGTAAAACCAGATCGCCGACCTGAAACTGATGAGCTTGAACCCTTTTATTATAAAATTTTGCAACACGACTTTGATGCGCCATGTTTCTTATTCGAGACATCTCCCTGATCTCTTCCACAAGGTCTAGATTCTCCCTTAAAAGTCGCTTATTGTGATCGTCGTTATGCTAATCTGCTCTGTCAGATGGCAATCCAATCTCCACAGGGATGACGGCCTCAGCTCCATAGGCAAGGTTGAATGGAGTCTCGCCTGTGGCCGAGCAGGGTGTAGTGCGACATGACCAAAGCACTTTATTGAGCTCGTCAACCCAATTAGAATGCGCAGCCAGAACACGTGTCTTGAGGCCTCGCAAAACGATTTTATTGGCGGACTCAGCTTGTCCATTAGATTGTGGAGTATACACAGATGTCAAGGCGAGCTCAATTCCATAATCGTTGCAGAGCGACCTCAGTGCCGTGGCTCGGAACTGCGGACCATTGTCAGCGTTGATCCGTTTAGGTATGCCGAACCTAAAACAGATGACCGAGCTGAGCCACAAATTATACTTATATATATGTGCCAATAGCTTAAGTCACCGAAGAATACCTGCATAATATTGAATTAAACAGGAATTCTTCTATTTTCTTCTCTGTTGTCGTGGACAGTGGTTTAGCTTCTATCAATTTGGTGAAGTAATCCACCGCGACAACGAGGTAAGTGCAACCTCCTTTGCCTTTCACAAAACGGCCGAGCAGGTCGACTCCCCATTGAGCAAAAGGATAGGGAGATGAGAGTGATGAGAGCATTTCTCCTGTTTCAACGAAGATTCTTATGCTTAGTTAATAGACAATCATGAAGTTTGCACGAACTTTAGAACGAGCTCAGATACCTGGCATGTGAATCTCATCAGCATTGAATTGGCAAGTCGGGCACTTTTTGACATAGCTCTGTGTGTCCTCAACCATAGTAGGCCAATAGTAACCATGCCTTAGGAGTTTCCGAGCTAAAGTCCTACCACCTATGTGTGTGCCACATACTCCTTCATGAACTTCCCTCACAGCGTATTCAGCTTCATAAGGAGTGAGGCAGCGTAATAGGGGCATTGAGGCTGCTCGTTTGTAGAGCTTATTATCTAACAAAGTGAAATGAGCTGCCCTACGTTTAATCAACTTTGCAGCAGACGGATCTTTAGGCAGCTCGCCACTGTGGAGATAATCGATGAGCGGGGTAGTCCAGCTCAGTAAAGAGGGATCTGTGCTGAGGAGCTGACACTCGACTGTGAAATCGGTGTAGCTCGGAGCGTCAAGTACCTCTACAATTGTTGACCTATGAGGGCTGATATCTTGCGAGGAGGCTAATTTTGACAGCTCGTCAGCTCGTTGGTTATCTGCTCTGGGTATCTTGTCGATCTGGAAGGAGGCAAATCTTAACTTCAATCTGTTGACTGCAGAGGCATAGCAAACAAGCTGGGGATCCCTAATTTCACAGCCGCCATTCACCTGGCCCACAACGAGCTGAGAGTCGCTAAAAACCTTAATGCTCTGTACCTTTAGCTCGGACGCCAACTTCAATCCATAAATGAGAGCTTCATATTCTGCAGCATTATTAGTTGTTTGAAACTTAAACCTCAGTGCGTGTTCGGATTTAAAGCCATCCGGGCCCACTAACACAGCCCCAGCACCCGATCCTTCAACGTTAGTAGCTCCATCTACATACAAGACCCAGACTGGGTGCTCGGGTGCCTTTTCTTCCGCAGTTGCTGAGATGCACTCCACTAGGAAGTCTGCCACAACCTGGCCCTTTATGGTTGTGCACGGCTGAAATTTGAGGTCATACTCGCTCAGCTCGACGCTCCACCCGATAAGCCGACCAGAGAGTTTCGGCTTCTGCAGTATCTTTCTCAACGGCAGATCAGTATAAACAACAATCTGATGTGACTGAAAGTAAGCTCTCAATTTTCGAGCCGTGTATACTAGGGCAAAAGCAGCCTTTTCTGCTAGTGGGTAGTTCTGCTCGGCGCCTTATAAAACCTCGCTCACATAGCAGATAGGCTTCTGATTCTTATTCTCTTCCCTGAGTAGGACCGAGCTCACCACCTCTTCTGTAACCCCCAGGTACAGATACAAATTCTCCCCTTCCACAGGCTTGGACAGCAAGGGTGCTGATGCCAAATATTGTTTGAGCTCGTCAAACGCTCGTTGACACTCATCGGTCCATTGAAAGTTCTTGGGCTCTCGCAGGGCTTTGAAGAACGGGAGGCATCGTTCTATCGACCTAGCTATGAACCTATGCAGCGCAGCAACACGGCCCGTTAAACACTGCACATCTTTTATAGTCCTGGGCGACTCCATTTGCTGAACGGCCTGAACCTTCTCTGGATTTACTTCAATTCCTTTCTTGGATACCACGTACCCCAGGAATTTCCCTGACTCTATAGCAAATGTACATTTCAGGGGATTCAGCTTCATTTGGGCTCGATGCAAGTTTTGAAAGGTCTCACTCAGGTCGTCTATATGATCCTTAGCTCGCATGCTGGTGACTAACATGTCATCCACATACACTTCTATGTTTCTGCCGATCTGGAACTTAAAAATGATTTGCACCAGTTTCTGATATGTAGCGCTAGCATTTTTCAAGCCAAACGGTATCATCACATAGCAATAGATTGCGTCACCAGCGTAGAAAGCTGTTTTCTCCTGGTCGTCCAACAGCAATTGAACCTGGTAATACCCTGAGCTGGCATCAAGGAAACTCATCCGTTCATGCCCGGCTGCCCTCTCTACTAGCTTCTCAACATTTGGCAAGGGATGAGGGTCTTTTAGACATGCCTCAGTTAAATTGGTGAAATCAATACACATTCTCCACTTGCCATTTGGTTTTTTAACAAGCACAGGGTTGGACACCCACTCAGAGTATTCCACTCTCTTGATGAAGCCTGCCTGTAGCAGCTTTTGTATCTCTTCATCTATGGCAGCTTGCTTCTTAGGGCCAAAAAGGCGACGTTTCTGAACCACCGGCTTTCTGGTGGGGTCCGTGCTGAGCTTGTGGACTGTCAACTCCGTTGGGATGCCAGGCATTTCATCCGTAGTCCACGCAAACACATCCTGATTAACCCTCAAAAACTCCAAAAGCTCTGCTCGTTCTTCTTCTGTGAGTTTCGTGCCGATCTTGACTGTTCTTTCCGGCACATCAGGATTCAAAGGAACTGTTTCTACTGGCTCTACTGGCTCTGCTTTCTGTTCGACACCCTCAGGTCGATGCTCAATGTCTGATATGCTCATCGTCTGTTGACCGGGCTAAGTCGGCCTATTACTTCCAGAGCCTCTCGGGGCTACAACGAGCTCAACCTTCTTAAATGTGTCTTGATAACAGGCTCTGGCCATCTTCTTATTCCCCTTCAACACTCCTACCCCTTGAGGAGTTGGGAACTTCATACAGAGATGGGGTTGTGAGACAACAACCTTCAGCTCGCACAGAGTAGCTCTTCCTAATATAGCGTTAAAAGCTGATTCCATCTTGACAACCAGAAAGTTAACAGAAGCCATCCTAAAGTGCGGTTCTGAGCCCACATATATGGGAAAAGTAATAACTCCCTCAACCGGAACGGGCTGGTGATCAAACCCATATATGGGCCCTTCATACTTCTGCAACGAGCTCGGATTCAGTTGCATCTTTTGAAAACAACTCCAATATAGGATATCTGGCGAGCTACCAGTATCAATAAACACCTTATTGACGTTATGATTGCCTATATGAACTGTTGCCACGAAAGGATCTGCATGGGGCATCATAACGTCGGGCTCTCCCTCTGCTCGCTCGTAATTTGCCGGGCTGAATGTGATAGGCGCATTCTCCCACTCTGCCTCCTCAAATGGCCGCTTCAAAGGTCTGTTTTTGTTGACGGTCATCACCTATCGGGCATATGCTTTACGACCTCGAGCGTTTTGGCCTCCAGAGTGTATACCACTCGAGGTCATATTAATTGTGCCTAAGGGTGGGGGGATCCCAGCATAACCCACCCCTTTCCTGTCTTTTTGGTTCTGGGTGGTAGTTCTCTGTCCCTGGCCTCGCCTGTTGAATTGACGTCCCCTATATGCCCTGCCTTGCTCAGAAGGATACTGGTTATCCTGATACGCATCCTGTGCGCCTCCGAGCTGGTACCTCTGCCCCTGAGGTCAATCATACCCTTGTACAAAGTGAGCTTGAGTGGGTTGCTGGGTATGGAGCTTCTGAACATATCCTTCTAGTGGGTTTCCCATTGCGAGCCAAGAACTCCAGCTCATCCTTTAAGTGTTGACAATCTTCTGTATTGTGACCGTATACACGGTGGTAGTCACAATGCTTGCTCTTGTCAGCCCTTGGGGAATCGTGCAGTGGGGGTGGGGGTCTCCTAACCCAGTGCTGGATTTGGGCCAGGATTTGAGACCTTGGCAAGGTCAAAGGAATGTAATTGGCATACTTTGGGAAGTCAGCGGGCTTCCCCCACTACTCGTTGACCTTTTGCTTTTTCTTTTCTTCTCTCCTCGGTGGTTGTTCCTGGCCTTTGCTCTGCTTATCATCAGCTCGTCGCTTGGACGACTGGAAGTCTTCGGACAGTGTGAAGCTAGCCGACCTGTCATTCACTTCGTTCCATGTCTTCGGTGGATTTTCTAGCAGGTCGTCCAGGAACCGACTACGCTTCAAACCATGTAGCAGGGCAGACAAGCAGATGGTATCGAGGACGTTATCGATGTCAAAAGTGGCTTTGTTAAATCGCTGCATATAGTCCCTCAGAGATTCCCCTTCTTTCTGATGAACTTGCATCAGCTCGGTCGCCGTGCGTTTAATCTCCCTTTGGCTCGCAAATTTGTTGGAGAATAGCTTGGCGAGCTGGGAATATGAGTCTATAGAATGTCTGGGGAGTTTGTGATACTATCTCCTGGCTGTTGACTTGAGTGTCGTTGGAAACACTTTGCACATCATGGCATCATTGGCATTTTGGATTCTCATGATGGCTTGATAGGTGTGCAGATGCTCATCTGGATCACCCGAGCCATCATACGTCTCCAGGTGGGGAATTTTGAATCCCTCTTGATACGACTCTGCTGTGATAGATAGGGTTAGAGGAGAACTATCCAAATCAAGGGTCTGTTGGTGCGACCTGGGACTTTTCAGCTCGTCAATAGATTTTTGTATGTCCCGCAGCTGCCTTTCAAGGTCTGCATTTTTTCTCATCAGTTCTTCACTATGTTTGGACGAGCTGGGCTCGTTATTTAGCTTCCCACTTCCCCTCGGCATGGTTGGCACTACTATCTTGCTCAGAGCGGGGGAGTTTCAAGTTGCAACAACCGCAGCTGGCTGTGCATCCTTGTTCAACAAAGGAATCAGGAGGTCATCAGGGATCAGGCGGGCAAGGATTTTACCCATTGCCATTTTGAGAAGTCTGGTTCTCTCTTCGAGCTCAGTTGTCCAAGCAGGCTCAGTTGACCTTTCAGGTCGTTCTTGTTGTGAATTGCCTGGTCTGGGATGTCTTTGCCTTGTTCCTGTTGGAACTTGGAATTGTTCAGGCTGGGTTGCATACCCAATTGGTGTTCTCTCATCATCATCTGTTTCACTTAGTTGATCCTGTTCTGCTCCTCCAACGAAAAGGTTCCTTGGCATTGGCCTAAAATCATTCAAACCGGGCTTAGACAGTTGAGCGTCCTCTTGTTCGTCCATTTGGTTCTTGGAGGGTGATTTCCGGTAAAAGTACGAACCATTTTCTCTTTTAGCAGGTTAAGCTACACAACTTCTCGTTCGATTGTTCCCACAGACGGCGCCAAATGTTTGGGCAGCTTCGCAATCCAACACTGTTGAAGTTCTCGGCTGCTTCTACACCTGAAAATTTCGAGGATGTTTTCTCGAGGAAAACACTCCGACGTTCAAGTCAGCAATACTCGATATTCTAGAGAGAGACGCTCTCAAGGAGTAATTGTAGAGAGAGAAACGTAGAGATTAATTACCTTCATTGGAGGTAGTTAGGGGGTATTTATAGCCCCCAAGTGCTGACATGCATCTGTACATGTAAGCATCTCACTGGTTCACGTGGCGTTGTTCACGTGGGTATGTTTATACTGGTGCTCCCTCACTTTGGGCTAATGGGTGTCAGCTTAGGCCCATTATGTAGGGCCTAAATTGGATGTTGGGCCTATTCCAATAAGCACAAAAGCTGATTGAAGGGGAGAAATCAAACAATCAACCAACACTTTTAATCGATTAGCCAAGCTCTTTGCTATTATTTTATATGAAAAATTGCAAAGAGAGATGGGTCTATACTGAGATATCATCTCTGGATTCTTAACTTTGGGCACAAGAACAATATTAGTGCAATTTAATTCCTTCAACATGTCACTACTAGAAAACCATATAAGTTCGGTCAGTCACACTGACCGGACAAACCCATATTTTGACCGAAAAACTACTATTTTGGTCAAGATGCTTAACCGAATTGTTGAACCGAATAACCATTGACGAAAATACAATTTCGGATGGAATTTTATCTTGACCGAAATTATTCATTATTTCCGTTAAGATCATTGACCAAAATATGGGGTAAAAAATCATTTAAAAAACTTAGTTTCGGTGAAAATATTTGACCGAACTATTAAAACAATATTTTAATGATAAGGTTCGGTCAAGTGTAATGACCGAAATAGTCATGGATGACTGATTTCCCAGTATTAGATTTCGGTCAAGAATATTGACCGATTTAATCAACATGACTATTTTGGTAATTGACACATACTATTTCGGTCAAGTAAATTAACCGAAATAATTGTAATTTTCGTAATATAATATCATGTATTATTTAGGTCAAGTTTCTTAACCGAAATAATAATACAGAATAATAATAAAAAACTATTTTACAAATTTTGACTTGGATGATAAAATAATTCTAATAAAAATTGATGTTTAAAAAATTAAAATTTTAACATCCTCAATTATTTACCCTTCATATTTATTTAATTTATTGCTATTCATAATTTTAAATTACAATTATAATTTTATTTCTAGAAATGTAAAAAAAATGATGAAAAAAATCCAAAAATACAAAAAATACTACACATTTGAGGATAGCATTAAATCCAATTTAAATACAAAAATAAGTTAAATT